CATTTGCACATCTTGCTTGTCTTTGTCATGTCTCGTCTATAATATCCTGCCAATAATTTGAACCTGGTTTTCAGAACCACTGCGCACTTTGTCTCTGTCCTGTCTTTGTTTATCGTACAGTTAATATTGTATAGTTATCATTATAGTATTGTATATTATTGTATAGTTAGTCATTAGTACCTTTTATCCCTTACTTTACCAACATTCAGCACGTTATTTATTTGTATTTTCTAGTTTTATATCTCTTGGGGATATATTATTATATACTTATAAATGCACCATGGGGGGGCTTAGGGTGAAGCAGAATTTCAGTACTCTGTATACTGTCCATACTGCTGTATTGACAATAAAGCTCTTGAATCTTAAATATATATACAAGTTTCTTTTCATATAAGGCAGGGGTGTGGTTTGTATATTGACCTGAAGAAATCTAATGCAAGTGCCTTTTTTTTGTTAGGGAGGATTTGTTGGTTGTTGAGTGCGAAGTGCTGCCACGTGTGAAAGAGAGGAACGATGAATCTACTACATTTTGGGAAATATTTGTGGCTGTTTTCTTGTTTGTTTTGTATCACTTGGACACTAAAGTGACCCTCCAATGAGACGGCTGTGCCAGCAGCTCATTTAAGTCTGAGACTCTGATAAAGGAGACAGACTTTCTTGTAATTTTTAAAAAATATTTTTCTTTGGACACTGGCTGCTTTTTCACGAAGTTATTGTAGCTGACCACAGGACTCAGGGGAAGAACCAGGGTTGTATCCACACAGAACAGACGACTTGGCAAAGAGTTTTGTTCACATATTTAGTTGAATCTACAAAAGCTACAGCAGATGAGCAGTATCCAAAAGTCACGTCAAGTCAATAGGAAACAATCCTGAAAAGACCTGACACAGGACCTTAAAGATGCATCTGGCCCTTCAGTCGATCCATCTGTTCACTGAAGCCTCGATGGAAACAGTCTCAGAGGAAGGGCAACAGTCAAGAAGCTGTTTTTAGGAAGGGAAAGAGTGAGGAAAGGTTGAGATAGACCAAATTACACAAGAGCTGGACTGTAAATCACTCAGCACAACAGGTCTTATGGAGCGATGGATTCAACTTTGACATTTTTGGTTCTAAATACTTGCTGTCAGTATATCTGAGATCAGGAGAGGAGAGAGGTACAACAGTGAGTGCCTACAGCCATCTGTAAAACATGCTGGACGCTCTACATCTCAGCCAGTTATGTTCACATCTTTTTAAAAAAATGATGGAATTATGGACTCGGAAAAGTTACCATGCAGCATTTTCTGAGAAGCATCTGATTGGCAGCAGTTTCATTTTGGGTCATGACTATGATCCCAAACACACTGAATGCGGTGAAAACATACCTGGATACAAAAAGCCTATAGACCTCAACGGGATTGAAACGCTTTTATGTGTAAACTTTGTTTTTACCTTAGCTTATTGTATTTCTGTGTATTATTGCATGTTTTTAGTCAACCGCTGCTTAAAAAAAAGAATCATATATTTATCCATGCATGCTCAGCTCAGAATCAGTCGAAGGTTTAAGGGCAGAAAAGAAAATGAAGCTTTCAGTAACGTTTTTAATCATGAGCCGCTCTGACCACATGAAGTTTGACCCCCGGGTAATCATTGTCATGAGGCACACAACCACTACAAGATCAAGTCATCAGTTTGCAGAACAAAGTCTTTATTTAGTCTCAGTTTCAGTCAGTTGTAACCACGTGTTTAACAAAAACAAAAGTTTGCTTTCATTTTTTGTAATATGGCAATTTTACACGAACAAAGGACGTATAAATATATACTGTTTACTACAGCCAGACTATAGGAGCACGGCGCATGCGTGAGATAACGCTAAAATTCCAAACCGGAAAGCGAATGAATCCCGAGTGATTCATCTCAAACACACACGATCTTCGTTGCAACTCCAGCAGGCAACTCTGAGGCTCAAAACAAGTAAGTTGACAGCTCTCTTATCAACACTTGTGATCATCGCACTGTCACGTTTACCTTCACAAACTACACGAATGGCGCTTTCCTTCTCCCCCCCTCATTTTCCCTCCGAGTAGTGGTCTGAGTGTGTTGGACTTCGAGCTGGTTAGCGTTAGCCAAACTTAGCTTTAGCTGTTATATGTAGCCTGTCACGTACAGGTACTGCAATGTAAACCCTGCCTTCACCTTTTTGACAACTGGCTACTTGTCTCGAGTTGTGCTGGTGACAAGTTTGTGTTCGTGTCAGCGTGGTGTTAGTGGCTCTGTGGATAAGTTAGCCCGCCTGTCGTTTGCGCTCAGTTAGCTAGTGAAGGAAATCTGTTCGCTTTACAAATGTGTGTTTGACAGCAGCTGAGATGCGTTTCTGGCGTAATGCCATGTCGATGTCGTTCAGCTGTCGTTAAACTACTGTTTGAAGAAGAAAGCTGCCAAGTATGGCGAGCTAGCCGGCGGTGGTGGTGATACGGGCCTGTAGTCATCATCGGTGAGAGGAGCAGTAACAGTTTACTGCAGTAATTAACGAGAGAATTTCCTCTTAACACGGGAGAAAACATTTCTGAGTGTCAAACCACAAACACTGCCAGGTGAAGGCGGAGCGAAGATCTCCGAGCCAACACCTGAACGTGTCTTATTCAGAAAGCTTTAGCTAAGTGTTCAAACGAATGTGTCTGTACTTGGTCCCAGCTGCTGTAGTGTCACAGCAGCTGTTCCCCTGTCTGTGTATCAGCTCCAGGATGACATCATCAGTACAGGAGACGTGCAGGACTTGATCCACAAACCGCAGCTGGATGTGTGAGATGGCGCTAGGGGTTTAAAAGATGTAAATGATAAGGGTTTGCTCTGTGAGAGAACACGGGGAGGAGGTGCGATGATACTGCTGTTTTCTAGTTGGCAACATGAGAGGAATATCATGTTTCATGGCCAGCTGGAGAGGAAAACAAGTGAAGTGGTGTGTCAGTGTTTTCTGATTAAAGGCAGCACGGTAGCATGGGGTCAGCCTCACAGCAGAGCCAGGTTCTAACCCTGGTGCCTTTCTGTGTACACTTTGCATGATCTCCCTGTGTCTGCACGGGTCTCTCCCCGGGTACTCTGGCTTCCTCCCACGGTCCAAAGACAGGGACTCGGTGGGGTTCGGTTGATCGGTGATTCTAAATGTGAGTGCAGCTGGTCGTCTGCCTCTGTCCTGCGACACACTGGTGACCTGTCCAGTGTGGACCCCGTCTTTATGCTCCATCCTCCCCAACAACCCTGAATTGGATAAGCAGAAGAGAACAGATGATTGAGGAAAGAGCCGGGCTCTTTACTACAAAGGACATCTAATGCCTTTGTTTGTAATTCTTTGCAGAGTCACCAGTGAACTCGTGGGTGCTGCTGTGTGAAGCAGCTGATTATCACGTCCTGATATGCATTTTTATTTTCTGTTGTTTTTAGCTAGATCCACGTGTCTCCTGGGACTGGACTTGGCTTCATCATTGTTATTGTGATACAAACGTCCGTTTTTCATGTGTTCCTGTAAGAAGCGTTGTTTCCTCAAATACAGCGTTATTGTCCCGTCGTCCGAGTCAATAAAGCCGCTTTTACTGAGTACCGGGGAACTGCACATAGTTCCTCAGATTCAGAGTAATTCCCAGTTGGAGTTAACAAAATATTTTGGGCTTTTTATTTGCCACGTGGGATGTGTGGAGTCATCAGATGGGAGTCTTTATGGGGAAAAGACTTAACTAGGACAACCTGTAACAGAATCTTTTTGGACGTACAGGCACACACGTATAACGTGATAACTGTCAGATTAATCAGTGATAAAAAGATTGTAAAATTTTATTGACATGGAGAAAAACGGGTAGTATTTAACAACAATCAAGCTTCTGTATGCTTTAACTGGCGTAGGCTGTTAAAGCATACAGTAAACTGGAATAAACAAGTGACAGGCTGGGCTTTGTCCTTGGCTTCAAACCGAGGGTGTTTCTTTGGCTTACTTTAAAAAGTGTTTTAACACAGCGGCCCTGAAAGCTAACCAGTATAACTGGAACAATTGGCCCTTTAGATTTACTAAAAAGCTCTTGATGTGCTGCTGTGATGTACAGTGTTCAGCACATGTTGTCTCAAAGGTACACTGAAGTGTGAAACGCTGAACGTCCTGCGTGCTGGTTGAGCTAATTTTGAAAGTGCTATAAACAAAAACGTACAAGTTGCATGAAAATAACTGTGGTGTCAGACCTAACAGGAAGTGATTCAGTGACAGGTGTCAGGTGACACTTTCACCAGCAAACTCCACAGCTCTTTAACTTAATTTTGTCTGTGTGGAGATGTCTCAGTCATGTTCAGATGTCAGACCTGGCTCTGGTTACTTGTATCAATGAAATCAATCAGCTTGCCCTGCTGGCCTTACAGGAACATGGATACAGGGAAATGAACTATTTGTCAGTGTGAATGCCACACCCAAATCCTAGAAAGAGACCACCTGGTCAGACACGAGACACCTGTCCAACACGTACCCAGTTAGCAGTTTTTATATGCTTGATTATAACACAGGTGCACTGGCTGAAATGTAGATGCAGGCAAATGACTGCACGTAAAGGAAACACGGCTTATCTGCTCTTAAAATAGTAACCCTAACCTAACCCTTTCAATGTATTATGTTTTGTACCAGGTTAACAGGTTTGCTGTGGTGCAATGGCAGGTTTATTCAGCGCGCCTATGGAAGAGCTGGGATTAGACGAAGCCAATCCTCAAATGAAGTGTCACGAGTGTTTGTGTCCACCATCCTCCAGGACGTGGGGTCAGGTCACACGCTGTAGATAAAAATGTTGTATCTGCGATAGAGCA